TCTGGTTTTGGCGACCGCGTTGGCAGCCAGCGATGACCCTCCTGTAGTTACGACGAGCCAGGGTCGCATCATCGGTACGAGGCTCGAGTTCAGCCCCACGGACCCCGAGCTTGGCCGTAGCGTGGACGCCTACCTCGGTATACCGTACGCTGAAGCTCCCGTGGGTCCGCTACGCTTCAAACCTCCCGTAGCCAAGTCATGGAGCGGGGAGTTACAAGCTACCAAGCTCGGCAATCGCTGCCCACAGCCAATCCTTCCATTGGGCAACTTTACGATAAATGGGCCCTTCGATGAGGATTGTCTATGCGTAGATGTATTCGTCCCCCAACCTCTGGTCAGTACATGTAACATGTATTTACATCGCACATTACGCCTTGTATGACTTGTAGCTGTTACGTTTTCAAGGACTTTATCACACTAATTATTATTGATTATTTCTGGTAATTAAACCAAGGATTTCCAGGCACTGTAGCTTGCAAGCCCGTAGAGAGAAGACAATGAAAAGTAATGGCAGTTTTAGAGATGAGAGGAAAACCCCCAGAAGAATATTCTGAGGAAAACCCAGGAGGGCCTAGGGACTGAAAACCTAATCCACATACGACCCAGGTTGGTGTCGAACCCGGGTCACAGCGGTGGCAGGGGAGGAGAGTACCGCTACGCCAACCTGACTCCCCTGTATGGAGTATCCACAGTGGATATGTTTGTGCTTGTACTATTTATTTTCAACTGAAGCAACTAAATCTGAAATTATGTCTTTATTTCAATTGCCCTCTTCCGCCCAAAAATATAGACCATATGTTACATGTGACGTCATGCCCACAGGCAACCGTTGGCAACCTACATAATTTCAGAATATTTTGCATGTTATTGGTCCACCTGAAAAACCACCTCTTTTAAACTATTCATATGCAAGATAATTAGAAGCATGACAGAAGAATACCGTTTGCTGAAACTTGGTATCACGTGACCACAATATCCTATTTCAGTTTTGGATAGATTGCTATCATTATATCTATCATTTTTTTGGTAGCCTTCAGATGCAGCCGTTCTTGTCTACATTCATGGAGGAGGTTACATGATTGGAGCTGGAATTATGTTGGATATGTATCCTACCGCAATTGCTGCTGTGGGTGACGTCATTGTCGTCACAATGAATTATCGACTAGGGGCTTTTGGCTTTCTTTCGACAAGTAAGTCCCAAATGTTCGGGAAAAGATAATCTAAATCTTAGATTAAAAACGATTTATTGGTCCCCTTTTGGATTACGTACAGGCACATAAAGAGAGTCTCTTAACGACAAAAAGTAAAATAAACTAAATTATAAAATAAAAAAACCAAAGAGTTTGACTGGACCGGGGTTTGAACCTGTGACCTCAGGAAGATATCCAGCCCTATTTCTGGTAGGTTTACGCCTCGCCTAGTACTAAGCAGGAAGTGCCCTCATTTCTACAATGCACTACTAAAGCATGTAGGGTGCCAAGTCTTGTACACAACCATGCAATGTGCACACGCTTATACTGACAAGATTGCTGTAATATCCACTTTTCATTGCAGGTGATGACGTCATCCCAGGTAACATGGGACTGTTGGATCAACGTCTTGCCCTGGAATGGGTCAGAGACAACATCAAAGGTACCGGCTTTAACACAATGATGCAACTTGTGGCTACAATTCAGTGTGCATAATATAGGCCTAGATTTACGTTGATGTAATGAAAGTGGTTTTATACCAACTAGGCAAAATCTTCACTTTCCCCAAGTCACTGATAATGGTTTAAAAAATACGTTCGTCGGTTACCCTATGGTAACAGTCACTAAGTCGGGCTTCCATCGTTTCCATTGCGAGGCGGTTTGCAGACTATTTCCGAAAGTTACCACTGCAGTTCAAACAACGCACGAAGAAAATTACGGAGACTTTTGCAACCATGTTGAGATGTTATATATTCTTAGTTAAAAATGCAGCACAAGATGACTTCAAATTTGAAAAGATTTATCTAAAGAAAGTTGTTGAAGCGAGACGAGTTATATCATGTATAGATGATTAGATTGGAATGTTTTCTCTTGTTTATTGTCAGCTTTCGGCGGTGATCCTGAGCGAGTTGCCATCTTTGGTGAGAGTGCAGGAGCGGGCAGCGTGGGTTTCCAAATGGTGTCACCTGGCAGTGCAGGGCTCTTCCGTGGCGCCATCTTGGAGGTATACCTTAAAATGTATACAGAATCAACGATAGGCACGAATGTAAAATGGAGCGAACCCCCCCCCCCCCCTTTCCGGGCAGACGCTTCGTAAGGGGGGGGGGGGTGGGTATACTCTTACTTTTGCCTTTCATGTCAGCAAAAGTTTCCGTTTGCCAAAGCAGAAGAGGATACCTCTAGGTTTGAGGTGATCTAAAGTCTCGTATCAAACATATTTCGTAGTCACATTCCAAACCCTCTGCCTTGCTTCTTTGCCTCGATACGTTGACCAAAGGAATCATTTACGTTTTATGTTAACGGAAATGATGACTAATACAAAGACACACCTCATCACTTCCTTGTGTGTGTCCCATCTCGTAGAGTGGCGATGCTGCTGCTCCTTGGAGTTTCATGCCAGCCAAAGCGGCACGCAGAGCGGCGTTTGGTCTTGGAAAGCTGGTCGGCTGTAAACAACAGACGTCGGAAGAGTTACTGGAATGTCTACAGCAAATTGAGGGCTTTGACACGATTGTCGAAAACCAATATGAAAAGGTAGGTGTGGCAAAATTGTCCGTTTATAAAGAATGAATAACTATGAACTATCAATTTAATACAACTCCACGCTTTCTTAGCAGGTAATCAATATCTTACTTAGAGTTTTGTTAGCTAATATGTACGTTCAGTGCCCGGAGCCTTTCCCCAGTCTTGCACTTTATCCAATCTTTGCACAGCTTCTGCAGGAGTTGGGTGGAGGCCAGGTGATATGCTTCATACCAGTTATGGATGGTGAGGTCATCCCTGCTGAGCCCAAAGACCTCTACGAGCAGGGTGCCATCAACGATGCTGTATCAATCGTCGGGGCACTTGCCGATGAGGGGATGGCGATGCTCGTGGGTATGTTCCCAAACAACACCGACGAGGCGCCGTTCGTCGACAGAGATACATTCGATGCTACCCTTCAATTCCACTTTGGTTGGATGCTGAGCTCATCAGAGCCGATTGTGATAGAGGCGGCCAGGATGATGTATGGTAACGCCTCCTGTTATGGTTTACCAGACTGTGACTATCTAGACAGCCTCTCACAAGTTCTCGGTGACGTCATATTCGTCTGTTCCGGAGACAAAACGGCAAGAGCCTTCACCAAGGCTGGGCGTCAGGTGTACCGCTATCACATGACTCACGTTGCCACCACCACCATGCTGGGTAGGAAGGGGACCAAGTCAGTGCACGGTGACGATCTCATCTTCGTCTTTGGTCTGCCCCTCATCCCGTCAGTCAACTGGACGTACACTGAAGATGAAGCCCGTATGTCGATACAGATGATCAAATACTGGCCAACCTAGCTAAGACTGGGTAAGTAAATGATAAAGTATAGATTGACAGATAGAAGAAAGATAAATCTAACAGTAAACAACTGAACCTATTGTCCATAATTCTACAAGAGTACATTGCCATCAATAACTGAACACAAAACAGACCTAAATAATAAAATTACAATATTGATAAATGTGTCACTACGCCATTTTAGGACGGGTTTACAAGAAAAAAAAAATTTTGAGTAGATTTCGAAACTATTCATAAGTGAAGCAACATCGTAAACACCGACTGCAATAAAAACATCCAAATGTTCGTGAGACAATGTTTGTTCCTCGCTTCTTTTCCGCTCTTCAGTAATCCCAACTTGTCCTCCCTGGATGCTGAGCAGGGGGAGGAGGAGAAGCTGCCAGAATGGCCGATGTTTACCCTCGAGGAACTCGCCTACAAAGACCTTTCAGTCTCCATGCGGAATAGGCGTGGCATTAAGGCTAAGGAGTGCCTCATGTGGAATGAGTTCATGCCAAAACTCATCAAGATTGCCGGTAAGTTTGGGTTGGTGCATAAATGACAAAGTCTCATTCTGTGGCTTGATACAGAACTTAATAATTAAAGAATCGCTTAGGGTTCAACAGAACAGCGCCCTCCAGAGTGTGCCGTTCCAGAAAAAGTGGGAGGGTCTACCATCTTAGTGGTTCACGCCCAGTGGTCGTTGATTTCCCAACAACGATAGCGCAATAAAAGACTGGTTCAAGTATATTTCCAGACTTTGTGGGCTGTAAGAAGTAAAGACTCAACGAAAATCGTTCTTTGTGAATAGAGACAATTTATACAGTCTTGAGGTTATTTTGTTTAACTTGAGAAAAGAATACATACAGAGACTTTATTAAAGAACATTAACTTTGTAGTCAGTGTTAAACATGAAGCTATTTTGAAGATGTTGGAAGAATGAGCAACATGGCAGAAGGTAGGGAGTTGACGATTTCGCCAAGCTTTAGAAAGAACCATTTTTCAAATGGCGTTTTTGGTTGTCGATCACTTTTCAGAAGAAGCTAAAAAGTGTCAAGAAGTGAAAGAGACCAAAGATGGCGACGCTGGAGAAGGCACGTGCACCAAGGAAACATGCCCAGAGGAATAGAGCACAGTTTGTCAAACGAAACTTGGAACATCAAACTTTAAGTCACAGCCTAGCAGGTTGTTCAACAATGACAATTTTTAGATCACTTTTAACTTAAGGTTAAACGAGCTCATTACGCATCAAGAGTGATTGCTTAAAATGAGGTATCAATTCAAATCGTAAACCGCAATTACACAGCAAACATTTGCTTTACTTGTCTTTTTAGTCGTTGAAGCAGAGAGCAAAATGTACGCTTACTGTTAAAAAAGTACCTGTTTGAAAGGACACCGCTTAAATTAAGACGCCTAGGCATAGTTTAAACCAATTTAAGTACAAGCTTTCGTCCGTTCATTTGGATTTAAGTGAAACCTATGCATCACAACAGAGGCAAATCGTTATTCGATATTCCAAAGTAGAGCTGTAGATCGCATCAGTTTAGGAAATGACAAGATCGAAGGCCCTATGTACATTGTACTGTGAGATTGGCCCTAAAATACTCGATTAGTTAAACACCACGTGTAAACAGACCAGCAGTCGAATCGCGAGACAGTCATTATTTTATACGCCATTCGTAGAATGTATACAACAAATCTGTTGCGCCGCTGTGAAATGTGGCGCCACTGCGCAACGTTCCGATTCAAATATACAATTGAACAGCTGTTGTGACGGCTATTTTGTGTATGCACAGTGACTACGGAACCGCGTTATATGTTGCACATAAGACTACATAAATTATACAGGAATGATATCATAACATGGTAGACGGCTCATGAAAATGCGCTGGCATACAAAGAGCCAAACTTGGCCAACTTACAATTTGGTCGCCAATTACGCAACTAGCCTTATCGGCTGTTATAGATAACAAAAGCAGTGCTAGTTTCGAATGCTGTTGTAGTGGTGTATGACAGTGCATTTCTACTTGAGTAAGATTTTGTTTTAATTGTGATGTTGCATATAAAACACCTTGAGATAATTATAAACTGAAGAAAGTTGATCTGAATTAAAATTGACACATTTTCACGGTACGTGTTTACGTAGGCCTACATGTACTTATATTCGGCTTATTTCATGGTTATTCAGAAACATGTTAAACCATTATCATAATTACCAGGATTGTTATTCCTAGAATAAAAATAATTGAAAAAGACATGCCATATTTGTGTTAATTAAAACTCCTTCTTTACCATGGGCGACTTTTGTCGTCCGCTTTGAACAGCGCTCCCAAAGCAAAATGACAGATCCCCACATGGCCAGGCGTCTCACGGATTCGGCGTTCTCTTTTGTGAAGAGTGCATTTACTGACGAGGGCATGGCAATTTTGCTAAATTTTTGGTCAACTATTTTTGGGTCTATTTTTGGGGACAGACAGACCGACCGACCCACCGACCGATAGATCGACCACCAAGTGACATGTAGAAGATCATGCCAGAGCTTATTTTAGAAAGGATATACAATGTAGCTTTAATCCAGACGCTTAGCTAGGCATGGTGGCGATATGTAAATTACAAGCTTCCGTTCGTTTAGAGGTAGCATTGGAACCTAGGCATCACAACAGAGGCAGATCATAGTGATATTCCAAAGTAGATAGATCAAATGACTTAATTAGGGAGTAGCAAGAGCCAGATTGAGAAAGGACCTGTGTACAATTGTACTGTGACATTCAAGTGGACCCCAGGTCGTAGCCGTAAAATGCTCGACTCGTTAAACACCGCGTGTGGACAGATTAGAAGCCCAATAGAGCCACAGTTGTCATTTATATGCAATTCGTATAATTTATACATGTACGATTTTATTGTGTCATTGCCATGGAGAGCCACCATGCAACGTTATCATAATGACTTTGACGATCGACGGCTATTTTATGTATGATGTCAGCACAGTGTCTACGGAACCGCTTAATATTTTGCACATAAGTACAAAATGGACAAGCCACTTCGAATTGATCAGAAATAAATTGAGTTTACATATACTTATTGGTTATTTTTTCATTTTGAACATTTTCAACCCATTGTAACATAATTTCCAGGCTTGTTTTTTCCTAGAATAAAAAAATCATTGAGAATGAATTTCCTATTAACTCTTCCTTACTATGGGCGACTTTTGTCGACAATGAACTATACCCCCCTCCCTGAATACCTAAATACCTAAGTGCCCTTGATGGTCGGGGTTGAACAGCGCCCCCATATGAATAATTTAATATAGCTCTATGGGTGTCCCTCACCCTTCGCTCGTACCCCCGTCCTGCAAACAGGAAGCTGGGAAGGGCTGATGAACATCACAGAATCTTGTGAAGGAAGTGGGGGTGGCATTCTGGTAATTTATCATGACCTATGACAAGTCATAGCCCCCGGGTAAATACTTCATCTATGACGATAAAAACTGCACAATACCATATGTTATATCCAGAAGTATTTAATTTTTAACAATTTTGGAAGAATTATGTCTTACATAAGTAGTAGTTTTGCATACAGTTTTATGAATATTTCCGTATAAGAAGTCATGCAAAAACCGACACATTAGCACACCCTGGAAAATTCGTGGTTGAAAGCCAACGGGTATTAATGCCCGTCATCACGCGTCTAACAACTCAGTGCATTTTGTACTGGAGCTCAGAACAGTCGTTTATCCTTGTGTGTAGGATCCGTGAACTAAGCATTGAGGAAGGAACACAAACGTGATCTCAGTTGCAAATCAGATGTGCACTGTGTGCAGCCATTGTGATGTGCACGCCCAATGAAATCAAGTTGCGATACAAGACCATGAACCCTGCTCACAGTACATACGTGACCTGATCGGGACTGCACTAGATCACTGGGAACCTGAACCATAGGAAAAAATGTATGTCAAATCTGTCTGCGTTTTGTGTCTGGTTTTGGCGACCGCGTTGGCAGCCAGCGATGACACTCCTGTAGTTACGACGAGCCAGGGTCGCATCATCGGTACGAGGCTCGAGTTCAGCCCCACGGACCCCGAGCAAGTTGGCCGTAGCGTGGACGCCTACCTCGGTATACCGTACGCTGAAGCTCCCGTGGGTCCGCTACGCTTCAAACCTCCCGTAGCCAAGTCATGGAGCGGGGAGTTACAAGCTACCAAGCTCGGCAACCGCTGTCCGCAGCCCATGCCCATGGCTTCGTTGGGCGAAATGGCTTTGTCTGGTCCCTTCAATGAGGATTGTCTTTGCGTTGATGTGTTCGTCCCCCAACCTCTGGTAATACATGTACATTACCCCTACAATTGGGATGTAATTTGCCTCTCTTTTATAATCCGCCTATTACTGTCGCCATTGCAGCCCAGACTGGGACCTTAAGTGCTCAAAACGATGCAAAAGAAGATCAGGCCAACTTAACTCACTCTTTAGCCAGCAAATTTCTTCAAAACTTTCAATGGGCAAATAAAAGGTCCTCAGTATTTCACCAACCAAGTTTGAAGACTCAATTCAATTTTTGGTTAAAGGGGACTTTTTTTCAATATTTGGCAGTGGCTTGCACATGAGAGGGATGTCAAGTGATTTCGAAATGAGGCTAAGGACTAGACTTGTACATGTCCATCCATGGTCTAACTGTTTGACAAGACTGACTCGTTCATTCATTGTCATTAGTCTGTGCCTGACTGTGGAGACATGTGTAGAAATGTTTACCTAGTACCCGACATCCTAGATAATTCTTTTGGAACAGTCATGCAGCTGACACTTGATTGATGCAGTTCTAAAGAGTTGTTGGACTGGTTGTTACAAATGTCAGTCTATTTTCTTGTTTTGCATGTTTCAGTACCTTGAGTTTTGGGACTCTCATAGTATTGAGAGTCCCAGATTTTTGGACTAATTACAGCCCTGCTGTGGCAGCTTAAAATTAAGGCAAAGTATCACTTCACAAGTCATGTCTGTCGAATTTGATTCAAAATATCTCATGAAATACATATCGCCGAACACTTGCATAAACACAATCGTATTCCCGAGAGTTGACTTTTACATACAATCTATATATATAAGAGAGAAGTTTACTCGCCCCCGAGACGATTTTTGCTCATGAAAGGATCCGAGACCGCGGGCTCCCGCGGCCCCAAAATCGCTCCACGTCCGTGGAAAAATGCGGAGGGTGTCTTCCGCCGGGTAGGACGCTTCGGGTCGTCCTAATTTTCCCGTACGGACTGGCGATCCGTTTCGTCGATTTTTGGTGACTGAATTTTGCACAGGAATTTTCCGTCGTGTGCACTTTCACGTTGACTGCCTGGCCGCCCACCGTGCAGGCTTTTCTGCGTGTCTAGACTGTGCGAGGTCAGCGAGGTCAACGTGGGGGTTTCGTTTACGTGTTCTACTCGGCCCTTCTGCAAAAGCGTTCACCAAACGTTAGTATGTGGTGACCTTGGTAAAATATTTTTTGTCCATGGTGCGTGGCCACCAAGTGCCCCTATTCTTTCATATGCTTCGCTTGCCGCCCCTGCGCCGAGTGCAACGAATACTCAGAAGGACTATACATTAAGTATGCCTTGCGCGGTCTGACCAATCGAAAGTCTACACTGCGTAGTATTTCCGGGCTATGCAAAACTGTCGATGGCAACGCGTACTGCAGCCTGCTCCACACCCTGGAAACGAGGTTGGGTCTACGGTGCTCGCTATTTGCATGATTTGAAGCACAAGCATGTGAGTGACGTGTATAGTGCTCTGTCGCTTCCATCGTGTGTTAATACAGCTCCATGCTTCCACCAAGGCTGAGCGTTGTGAGTTCGCTGCCCGCCACAGTCTTGCGTTATAATTTCGGGGGCCTGTCTGGGATCAACGAAGGATCGATGCATTGCTTCAAACATCGCGATCTTAAACGCAGTCACACAAAAAATCGACGAAAATGTGTCCGATCCGGCGGAAGACACCCTCCACATTTTTCCACGGACGTGGAGCGATTTTGGCGTCGCGAAAGACCGCGGTCTCAGATCGTTTCAGGAGCAAACATTTCTCGGAGGCCGAGTAAAATTTGCTCTTATATAGATGGTTGACCCAAGTTGAATAACAGTTGACTCGACAAGTTCCTCGCAGACAGTCTCGCAAATTGTAAGACGTTCAAGTTTACGTTTGTTGAAGAGTCCAATATACTGAAACTTAATTATGACCTTCCTAATCAGCCTTCGCCTGTGTACTACGGCAAGCCTTTCAAGTACGTTTTCTCACAAATGCCACTGCCTCACAAAATGCCAATTTAACAGACCAACGGGAACATTTACAGACTGTTGCCATGGTTCATAATTATCATGGGCGTCAATCGGTGGGGGACGGGGAACCCCTCCACCCCCCCCACCCCACCCCCCCCACCCCCCATTTTAAAGCGGTGGAGACTTTTTTGGTCCCCTCCCCCCCACTTTTCTTCCCCGAATAAAAATTGTAGCTACTACATGATTCTATTACTCTGAATAGCTGATTCAATGACACCAAACTCGAAAATGATGTTTCAAAGATGATCTTTTGCTTAAAAAAAAAATTGTTGTAGTGGTCAGAAATTGCCTCAGATCGCACCACAGAAATTGCTTTTCTATAACTGCATGTCTTCTCAACTAAATCCCCCAATTACATTCATCTCCCCACATTTTCATCCCCAACTCTACGCCCTACCCGATCTATGATCGGGTAAATCAACGAGGGATCGATGCATTGCTTCAAATATTGTGATCTTTGAACTATGTTGGGTTGGAATAACGAAGAGTGCATAAATAATAATATTGGCGGTTGTTGGCTGTTTGGCCTTGCTTATTTGAACCATGCCAACTTGAATAAAATAGTTAAATCGGCTTTTTCCTCGCAGGTCTCGCAAATTGTAAGAAGTTCAAGTTTACGTTTGTTGAAGAGTCCAATACTGTACCTTCATAATGACCTTCCTCCATGATTCACACTATGTAATTTTATGGTAACACACTCAACATTTTTATTGCAAATGCCACCTTCACGTTTTATTCCATTATGATTTATTGTCAAAACAGTACAATCAGCCTTCGCCTGTGTACTATACGGTAAGTCTTTCAACTCAGTTTTCCCACATTAACAAACGCGACTGCCTCACAAAATGCAATTTAACAGACCAACGGGAAAATTTACAGACAGTTATACATGCCATGGTACATAATTATCATGGGCGCGGCGTCTATCGGTGGGGGACGGGGGACCCCCACCCCAACATTTTAAAGCGGGCAATATCGTTTGGTCCCCTACCCCCACTTTTTCTTCCCCGAATAAAAATTGTAGCCTACTATAATATTCTTTTGCTCAGAACAGCTGATTCAATGACTCCAAGTCCAAACTCGAAAATGATGTTTAAAAGATGATCTTTTGTTTTACTATCGTACGTGGTCAGAAATTGCCTCAGATTGCGTCACCGTAAATTGCTTTTCTATAGCTACATATCTTCTCAACTAAATCCCCCATTTACATTTAACTCCCCACACTTTCAACCCCAACACAAATACGCCCTACCCGATCTATGATCGGGTAAATCAGCTTGTATTTAATAAGGCTTGATAAAATAGTAAATTTGTCCACGTATTTATGTCTTGAACAAATGAAGATTATTCAAACATGTTCTGACTCGCTCGCCGCCATTGCACATTACGCCTTGTGGGTCGCCGCTGTTTAGTTTTCAACAATAACATTTATTTTCATCAACAACAAAGTAAAAGCATCATGAGAACAAACAGTAGTTATACATGTATCAACATGGAGGCATGATTTTAAAAAGCCCAAGCTTATAAGGGCATGCCGGGTGCTTGCGTGGGGCATGCCCATACTTCAAATGCAAAACTGTATAAGGCGGTGCGGCACGCAAGAGCGCACCGGTGTCGCACGTTTACGTAATTCACCAATTACGTTTGTGTAAACTTTAATATTGATGTTCAAATATAGTAATATAGTAATAGTAATATGTTCTTCTTTAAACGTGATGTTTCAATTGTCTATATCTTCTACAATTCGATGTCATGGGCGCCCTCTTTCGCCAAAAAAATGTTACCTCTGACGTCATGTCAACTGGTAACCGCTGGGCAACCCAAATATTTAAGCATCTTTGCATATTTGGCCCATATTAAAGAATCACTTTTCAACCATTCATATTTCAAGATACATACAGGCAGTGCAGAAGAGAAAAGAGGAACTGGTCATATCATATTTCAAGATACATACAGGCAGTGCAGAAGAGAACAGAGGAACTGGTCATATCACGTGACCACAACATCCATCTTGGGAACAAAATAATGTGAAAAGGTCTACATACCCAAGTTATGAGTGTTTGTATCAGTATTTTTTGTATAGCCTTCAGATGCAGCCGTTCTTGTCTACATCCATGGAGGGTCTTACATCAATGGAGCTGGCATTATGGCGGAAATGTATCCAACACCAATTGCTGCTGTGGGTGACGTCATTGTCGTCACAATGAATTATCGACTCGGCCCTTTTGGCTTCCTTTCGACAAGTAAGTCCGATATGTTCGGGAAAACAGAATTAAAATCTTAGATTGGAAACGATTTGTTTTCCTACACAAAAAGATAATTAAGCAGCTGTAACTTTTGAAGGTCAAAAATGAAAACAACTGAAATTAAAATAAGTCACATTAAACTGAATGCATTTGTGTAGCCTTTAAACAAAATTACCTAAATAAAGTAAACTGAATTATGAAATTGATCAAAACAAAATGCTTACTAGTCTGTGGAATATCCCTTTGCACAGCAAGGGTCTATATGATATGCGAGCAGATTCGGGTATTAATTTGCTGAACAACACTGCTTCATGACCTCGAGATTTTGACCATTCAGTAGGCGCCTTCTGTACTCGTTGTATTACAAAAAAATGGCATCAAAATTGACCAATCAACAACTCAGTCCACATTTCTGATCGAAACGACGTCACAGTTTCTCAAGTCGACTCCGATTGACTTTTTTGTAGGCCCTAGGCACGGTGCCTACTGTGCCATTTTGGATTAATGCAGGCCTGCTTAGGATATATCAGGCGTTAGATATTGGTTCTGCACACGTGAATGTTTGAACCGGTGACCTCCGGTTTTACGAAGGAGGTGCTCTCATTTCTACGACGCAATACTCGAACATGTTTGGTGCAAGTCTCGTACACTACCAATGTGCATACACTTACATGTGGGGCGGGCTGCGTCATCCGATTAAAACATCGATTCATTTGCACACCAGTTTTCATCTGTTCCTATGTTGCTATTCAGCACAGACTCAAGAACCATTGAATTTCAAGAACATAGGTCTGAAAGCTAGATAAGCCAATGTTACAAATTCCCAAATGTCCGCGCCCACCTATACTGACGAGATTTCTTTCATGCCAACTTTTCAATGCAGATGATGAAGTCATCCCAGGTAACATGGGACTATTGGATCAACGTCTTGCCCTGGAATGGGTCAGAGACAATATCAAAGGTACCGGTTTTTACAAAATCATGGAATGCTACATTCAGACAATTCAGTGCGCATAATAGTGTCACTTTAGAAAGACACTATTACATCATTTGAGTTTCCATCATTTTCATGGTAAAGCAGTTTGAAGACTATTTCCGCAAAAGTTACCACAGCAACCAACACACGTAGAAAACTACGGAGACGTTTTGCAATTATTTTGACGTGTTTTATTTTTTTTAGGTCTAAATGTACCTCAAGATAACTTCAAATTGGAAAGGATCTACGGAAGAAAGATTGGATTTTTGTTTTCTTGTTTTAATAATATTGTCAGCTTTCGGCGGTGATCCTGAGCGAGTTGCCATCTTTGGTGAGAGTGCAGGAGGGACCAGCGTCGGCTTGCACATGGTGTCACCGGGCAGTTCAGGGCTCTTCCGTGGCGCCATCTTGGAGGTACACCTTGAAATGTATACAAGATTAGGGAGAAGCACGATTGTACAGGGGCTTCTTAAGAGGGGTGGTATACTCTCAATTTTGTCCTTCATGTCGGCGAACTTTCAGTTTACAAAAGAGCTAGAGGTTACCATAAACAGCGCCACTTGGTGTCATGTAATCTCAAGTCCCGTCCATAAACAGCGCCCCACGTATCACATTCCCCAAACCATCTGCTTTGTTTCTCGTCCTTGATACGTAGAGTGGTGATGCTACTGCTCCTTGGGCAACTACGCCAGCCAGTGCAGCACGCAGGGCAGCCTTTGTTCTCGGAAAGCTGGTCGGCTGTGAACGACAGACGTCGGAAGAGTTACTGGAATGTCTGCAGCAAATTGAGGGCTTTGACACGATTGTCGAAAAGCAACAGGACAAGGTTGGTGATAAATTATAAATGGACTGTTGATTTGAGAGTAGGCCGAATCACCCCATGATTGAATTGGTATCCATGTCTGCTTACAGATGGTCAAAGTCTTGCTTAAACATTTTGTCAGCTATTATGTAGGTTTAGTGCCGGGAAGGTAGCCATAACAAGTTTGGCACTTTATCCAATTTTTGCGCAGCTAATCGCGGCGGAGTTTAGTGGACACCAGTTGATATCCTTCACACCAGTTGTCGATGGCGATGTGATCCCTGCTGACCCCAATGACCTCTACGAGCACGGTGCCATTAACGACGCCGTAGCAATCATCGGGGCTCTTGCTGATGAGGGTATGCTCGAGCTTCTCCCTGTTTTCCCAAACAACACGGACGAGGCGCCGTTTGTCGACAGCGATTCATTCGATGCTAACCTTCGATTCCAGTTAGGTTGGATGAAATGCTCTGAGCCGATTGTGATAGAGGCTGCCAAGATGATGTACGGTAACGCCTCCTGTTCTGGTGTACCAGACTGTGACTATCTAGACAGCCTCTCACAAGTTCTTGGTGACGTCCTGTATGTCTGTTCCGGAGACAAAACGGCCAGAGCCTTCACCAAGGCAGGGCGTCAGGTGTACCGCTATTACATGACTCACATCGCCACCACCACCATCCTGGGTAACAAGTGGACCAAGTCAATTCACTTCGACGATCTGATCTTCGTCTTTGGTCTGCCCCTCATTCCGTCTGTCAACTGGACGTACACTGAAGATGAAGCCCGTATGTCGATCCAGATTATCAAATACTGGGCCAACCTAGCTAAGACTGGGTAAGTAAATCATCAACTATAGATGGACAGATAGCAGATAGATAGATCCAACTGTAAACAACTTAACCTATAGTTTTTAATTCTATAATAAGGCCAAAAAAAGTCGCCGGTGTCTGGTATGCCCGTGCGTCGCCGTAGTCATACGCGTCGGCAAAATGAGAAAGGTTTTTTTCAATAAAAGATGATGTCTCCAAACCGCCAAACTCACTGGTTTGACTGGAATCCTGCTGCTGCACAATTTTAACGTGTTTTTAGATGGGGTTATGATCCGTCGAGAATAAGCTTTATGTGGCCTCTCTGGACTCCGATATATTTGCACTAATAGTCGAGCACCATTCGCAGTCATCAGCCGACATTTGAAGCAAAAAAAAACAGGTAAAAAAAAAAAGCCGCGTCGCCGCACCACTTTTTGGGCAAGCTCCATACCAGAAACCGGAGACTTTTTTATTTTGGCCTAAGTTCATTGCCCATCAATATATACTTGTACACCAAACATACCTAATTAACAGACATTACAATATAGATGAATGTGTCACTGCGCCATTTTAGGAAGGGTTTAAAAGAAAAAAATACACTTTTTAGTACATTCAGTTGCTATTTATAATTAGTGAAGCATGACCTCATTGAAAAAACTGCAGTGAGAACATCAACATTTGCGTGTGACAATGTTTCTTCCTTGTTTCTATTCCGCTCTTCAGTAATCCCAACTTGTCCTCTCTGGATGCTGAGCAGAGGGAGGAGGAGAAGCTGCCAGAATGGCCGTTGTTCACCCTGGAGGAACTCGCCTACAAAGACCTGTCAATCTCCATGAGTAATGGGCGTGGCATCAAGGCTAAGGAGTGCCTCATGTGGAATGAGTTCATGCCAAAACTCATCAAGATTGTCGGTGAGTTTGCGTTGGTGCATCAGTGACAAAGTCTCATTCTGTGGCTTGATACAGAACCTAATAATTAAAGAATCGCTCGGGGTTCAACAGAACAGCGCACTCCAGAGTGTGCCGTTCCCAGAAAATCGGGAGGGTCTACAATCTAAATGGTTCACGCTCAGTGGTCGTTGATTTTCCAACAACGATAGCGCAATGAAAGACTGGTTCATAACCCTTGGATTATGATTTCCAGACTTTGTGGGTTGTAAGAAGTAAAGACTCAACGAAAATCATTTTTCGTGAATAGAGACAATACAGTCTTGAGGTTATTTTGTTGAAGAGAAAAGAATACATACAGAGACTTTATTAAATAATATAACCTTTGTAGTCAGTGTTAAACATGAAGCTATTTTGAAGATGTTGGAAGAATGAGCAACATGGCAGAAGGTAGGTTGTGGACGATTTCGCCAAGCATTAGAAAGAACCATTTCTCAAATGGCGTTTTTGGTTGTCGATCACTTTCAGAAGAAGCCAAAGAGTGTCAAGAAGTGAAAGAGACCAAAGATGGCGACGATGGGGAAGGCACGTGCACCAAAGAAACATGCCCAGAGGAATAGAGCACAGTTTGTCAAACGAAACTTGGAACGTGAAACTTTAAGTCACAGCCTAGCAGGTTGTTCAACAATGACAATTTTTGTATCAGTTTTAACTTTAAGTCAAACGAGCTCATTACGCATCAAGAGTGATTGCTAAAAGTGAAGTATCAATTCAAATCGTCAACCGAAATTAACTGCAAACAGTTGCTTTACTTGTCTTTTTTAGCCGTTGAAGCAGAGAGCAAAATGTACGCTAACTGTTAAAAAAGTACCTGTTAGAAAGGACACCGCTTAAATTAAGACGCCTAGGCATAGTTTAAACCAATTTAAGTACAAGCTTTCGTCCGTTCATTTGGATTTAAGTGAAACCTATGCATCACAACAGAGGCAAATCGTTATTCGATATTCCAAAGTAGAGCTGTAGATCGCAGCAGTTTAGGAAATGACAAGATCGAAGGCCCTTTGTACATTGTACTGTGAGATTGGACCCCACGACGTAGCCCTAAAATACTCGATTAGTTAAACACCACGTGTAAACAGACCAGCAGTCGAATCGCGAGACAGTTGTCATTATTTTATACGTCATTCGTAGAATGTATACAACAAATCTGTTGCGCCGCTGCGAAATGTGGCGCCACTGCGCAACGTTTCGATTCAAATATAGATGTTGTGACGGCTATTTTGTGTATGCACAGTGACTACGGAACCGCGAAATATGTTGCACATAAGACTACATAAATTATACAGGAATGATATCATAACATGGTAGACGGCTCATGAAAATGCGCTGGCATACAAAGAGCCAAACTTGGCCAACTTACAATTTGGTCGCCAATTACGCAACTAGCCTTATTGGCTCTTATAGATAACAAAAGCTGTGCTAGTTTCGAATGCTGTTGTAGTGGTGTATGACAGTGCATTTTTACTTTAATAAGATTTTGTTTTAATTGTTATGTTGCATATAAAACACCTTGAGATAATTATAAACTGAAGAAGCCAGTTGATCTGAATTAAAATTGACACATTTTCACGGTACGTGTTTACATAGGCCTACATGTACTTATATTCGGCTTATTTCATGTTTATTCAGAAACATGTTCAACCATTATCATAATTTCCAGGATTGTTATTCCTAGAATAAAAATAATTGAAAAAGACATGCCATATTTGTATTAATTAAAACTCCAAAAAAACTCCTTTACCATGGGCGACTTTTGTCGTCCGCTTTGAACAGCGCTCCCAAAGCAAAATGGCAGATACCCACATGGCCGGGCGTCTCACGGATTCGGCGTTCTCTTTTGTGAAGAGTGCATTTACTGACGAGGGCATGGCAATTTTGCTGAATTTTTGGTCAACTATTTTTTGGTCTATTTTCGGGGACAAACAGACCGACCGACCCACCGACCGATAGATCGACCACCAAGTGACATGTAAAAGATCATGCCAGAGCTTATTTTAGAAAGGATATAGCTTTAATCCAGAAGCCTAGCAGGCATGGTGGCGATATGTAAATTACAAGCTTCCGTTCGTTTGGACGTAGCATTGGAACCTAGGAATGACACAACAGAGGCAGATCATAGTGATATTCCAAAGTAGATAGATCACATGACTTAATTAGGGAGTAGCAAGAACCAGAAAGGACCTGTGTACAATTGTACTGTGACATTCAAGTGGACCCCAAGTCGTAGCCGTAAAATGCTCGACTCGTTAAACACCGCGTGTGGACAGACCAGCAGCCCAATAGAGAGACAGTTGTCATTTATATGCAATTTGTATCATTTATACATGTACAATTTTATTGTGTCATTGCCATGGAGAGCCGGCCATGCAACGTTATCATAATGACTTTGACGATCGACGGCTATTTTATGTATGATGTCAGCACAGTGTCTACGGAACCGCTTAATATTTTGCACATAAGTACAAAATGGACAAGCCACTTCGAATTGATCAGAAATATATTGAGTTTACATATTCTTATTGATTACGTTTTCATTTAGGAACATTTTCAACCCATTGTAACATAATTTCCAGGCTTGTTTTTCCTAGATTAAAAAAATCATTGAGAATGACTGTCCTATTCGTGCATCTATTAACTCTTCCTTACTATGGGAGAATTTTGTCGACAATGAACTACAGCCCCCCCCCCCTCCCTGAATACCTGAATACCTAAGTGCCTTTGATGGTCGGGGTTGAACAGCGCCCCCATATGAATAATTTAATATAGCTCTATGGGTGTCCCTCACTCTTCGCTCTTACACCCGCCCTGCAAACAGGAAGCTGGGAAGGGCTGATGAGCTTCAAAGAATTTTGTGAAGGAAGTGGGGGTGGCATTCTGGGTAATTTATCATGATCTATGACAAGTCATATCCTCCGGGTAAATACATCATCTATGACGATAAAAAACGCACAATACCATATGTTATATCCAGAAGTATTTAATTTTTAACAATTTTGGAAGAATTATGTCTTACATAAGGAGTAGTTTTGCATACAGTTTTATGAATATTTCCGTATAAGAAGTCATGCAAAAAAAAACCGACACAATGCCACACCTGGACAATTCGCGGTTGAAAGCCAACGGGTATTAATGCCCGTCATCACGCGTCTAACCAATTAAGGCAAGTCCGCTGAGTGCATTTTGTACTGGAGCTCAGAACAGTCGTTTATCCTTGTGTGTAGGATCTGTGAACTAACCATTGAGGAAGGAACACAAACGTGATCTCAGTTGCTAATCAGATGTGCACTTTGTGCAGCCATTGTGATGTGCACGCACAATGAAATCAAGTTGTGATACAAAAGAAATAGACCATGAACCCTGCTCACAGTACATACGTGACCTGATCGTGACTGCACTAGATCACTGGGAACCTAGCTGAACCATAGGAAAAATGTATGTCAAATCTGTCGGCGTTTTGTGTCTGGTTTTGGCGACCGCGTTGGCAGCCAGCGATGACCCTCCCGTAGTTACGACGAGCCAGGGTCGCATCATCGGTACGAGGCTCGAGTTCAGCCCCACGGACCCCGAGCTTGGCCGAAGCGTGGACGCCTACCTCGGTATACCGTACGCTGAAGCTCCCGTGGGTCCGCTACGCTTCAAACCTCCCGTAGCCAAGTCATGGAGCGGGGAGTTACAAGCTACCAAGCTCGGCAATCGCTGCCCACAGCCAATTTTTCCATTGGGCAACTTTACGATGACTGGGCCCTTCGATGAGGATTGTCTCTGTGTAGATGTGTTAGTCCCCCAACCTCTGGTCAGTACATGTAACATGTATTTACATCGCACATTACGCCTTGTATGACTTGCAGCTGTTAAGTTTTCAAGGACTTTATCACACTAATTATTATTGATTATTTCTGGAAATTAAACCAAGGATTTCCAGGCACTGTAGCTCGCAAGCCCGTAGAGAGAAGACAATGAGAAGTAATGGCAGTTTTAGAGGTGAGAGGAAAACCCCCAGAAGAATATTCTGGGGAAAACCTAGGAGGGACTGAAAACCTAATCCACATACGACCCATGTTGGTGTCGAACCCGGGTCACAGCGGTGACAGGGGGAGGAGAGTACCGCTACGCCAACCTGACTCCCCTGTATGGAGTATCCACAGTGGATATGTTTGTGCTGGTACTATTTATGTTCAATTGTAGCAACTAAATCTGAAATTTTGTCTTTATTTCAATTGCCCTCTTCCGCCCAAAAATATAGACCATATGTTGCATGTGACGTCATGCCCACAGGCAACCGTTGGCAACCTACATAATTTAAGAATATTTTGCATGTTATTGGTCCACCTGAAAAAAAAACACCTCTTTTAAACTATTCATATGCAAGATAATTAGAAGCATGACAGAAGAATACCGTTTGCTGAAACTTGGTATCACGTGACCACAATATCCTATTTCAGTTTTGGATAGATTTCTATCATTATATCTATCATTTTGTTTTTGGTAGCCTTCAGATGCAGCCGTTCTTGTCTTCATCCATGGAGGAGGTTACATGATTGGAGCTGGAATTATGTTGGATATGTATCCTACCGCAATTGCTGCTGTGGGTGACGTCATTGTCGTCACAATGAATTATCGACTAGGGCCTTTTGGCTTTCTTTCGACAAGTAAGTCCCAAATGTTCGGGAAAAGATAATCTAAATCTTAGATTAAAAACGATTTATTGGTCTCCTTTTGGATTACGTACAGGCACATAAAGAGAGTCTCTTAACGACAAAAAGTAAAATAAACTAAACTAGAAAACAAAATAGAAAAAAAAAAAAAAAAAAAAAAAATCTTAACGAAAACAAGAGCTGTTTCGGTGTGTACACCGAAACAGCTATAAAAAAAAAGAAAAAAAAAAGAAAAAAAATCTTAACGAAAACAAGAGCTGTTTCGGTGTGTACACCGAAACAGCTAATTATAAAATAAAAAACCCAAAGATTTTGACTGGATCGGGGTTTGAACCTGTGACCCCAGGGGCGTTTTCGAATCCCTGTTCTTGACAACACGCGTGTAACACGAGAACGTGTTCTCGAGCTGGTTGTTACTAACGCGCGGGTGCGTGTCGCATCGATATAAAGCAATGCAAAATGGCCGACAATCGTCTGAATTTGTACTTAACAATGTTAGGCCTATTCCAAATGAACGAGGACGACTGTTGCAAAACCAGACATGCGGGGATGAAATTGCAGACCTGCACTATACTAGTATTCTTATTCCAATCATTAGGGTATTAGCAAAAAAAATAAAAAAAATAAAAAAAATACGAATCTGCACAGTCCGCCATTTTGTTCAAGCTGCACCTCGCCGAACCCTCCATCAACCGGGGAGTGAAAAAATCGATCCGCGAACGCCCTCTCGGGTCTGTTAGTCACGTTCGAGACCGCTGTTCTCGTGTCGGGTTAACCCGAGTGTTGTCAAGAACAGGGATTCGAAAACGCCCCAGGAAGACAATTCCAGTGTTCTACTAATAAATCCAGCCCTATATATTTGCGGCTCCACAGCTTGTCCGTGATTGTGTCAGAAGCTTAAACCCTCATAGATGTCATAACCAGGGATCACGCTCGGCAAAGCTGTTAAGTCCCAAAGTAAGCTCTGGTAGGTTTACGCCTCGCCTAGTACTAAGCAGGAAGTGCCCTCATTTCTACAATGCACTACTAAAGCATGTAGGGTGCCAAGTCTTGCACACAACCATGCAATATGCACACGCTTATACTGACGAGATTGCTGTAATATCCACTTCTCATTGCAGGTGATGACGTCATCCCAGGTAACATGGGACTGTTGGATCAACGTCTTGCCCTGGAATGGGTCAGAGACAACATCAAAGGTACCGGCTTTAACTCAATTGATGAAACTTGTGGCTACAATTCAGTGTGCATAATATAGGCCTAGAGTTACGTTGATGTAATGAAAGTGGTTTTATACCAACTAGGCAAATTCTTCACTTTCCCCAAGTCACTGATGTTGGTTTAAAAAATACGTCAATTACCCTATGGTAACAGTTACTAAGTCGGGCTTCCATCGTTCCATTGCGAGGCAGTTTGAAGACTGTTTCCGAAAAGTTACCACTGCAGTTCAACCAACACACGAAGAAAATTACGGAGACTTTTGCAACCATGTTGAGATGTTATATAATCATTCTTAGTTAAAAATGCAGCACAAGATGACTTCAAATTTGAAAGGATTTATCTAAAGAAAGTTGTTGAAGCGAGACGAGTTATAGCATGTATGTTTAGATTGGAATGTTTTCTCTTGTTTATTGTCAGCTTTCGGCGGTGATCCTGAGCGAGTTGCCATCTTTGGTGAGAGTGCAGGAGCGGGCAGCGTGGGCTTGCACATGGTGTCACCGGGCAGTGCAGGGCTCTTCCGTGGCGCCATCTTGGAGGTATAACTTAAAATGTATACAAAATCAAGGATAGGCACGAATGTAAAAAGGAGCGCCCCACCCCCCTTTCCGGGCAGACGCTTCGTGAGAGGGGGTGGGTGTACTTTTACTTTTGCCTTTCATGTCAGCGAAAGTGTCCGTTGCCAAAGCAGAAGAGGATACCTCAGGGTTTCAGGTGATCTAACTTTTAGTCTCGTATCAATTATATTTCGTAGTCACATTCCAAACCCTCTGCCTTGCTTCTTTTCCTCGATCCGTTGACCAAAAGGTATCATTTACGTTTTGTGTTAACGGAAATGATGACTTATACAAAGACACACCTCATCACTTCCTTGTGTGTGTCCCATCTCGTAGAGTGGTGATGCTGCTGCTCCTTGGAGTTTCATGCCAGCCAAAGCGGCACGCAGAGCGGCGTTTGGTCTTGGAAAGCTGGTCGGCTGTGAACAACAGACGTCGGAAGAGTTACTGGAATGTCTACAGCAAATTGAGGGCTTTGACACGATTGTCGAAAACCAACATGAAAAGGTAGGTGTGGCAAAATTCACCGTTTATAAAGAATGAATAACTATGAACTATAAATTTAATATAACTCCATGCTTTCTTAGTAGGTAATCAATATCTTACTTAGAGTTTTGTTAGCTAATATGTACGTTCAGTGCCCGGAGGGTGGCCCCCAGTCTTGCACTTTATCCAATCTTTGCACAGCTTCTGCAGGAGTTGGGTGGAGGCCAGTGGGTGTTCTTCATACCAGTTATGGATGGTGAGGTCATCCCTGCTGAGCCCAAAGACCTCTACGAGCAGGGCGCCATCAACGATGCTGTATCAATCGTCGGGGCACTTGCCGATGAGGGGATGATGATGCTCGTGGGTATGTTCCCAAACAACACCGACGAGGCGCCGTTTGTCGACAGAGATACATTCGATGCTACCCTTCAGGTCCACTCGGGTTGGATGCTGAGCTCATCAGAGCCGATTGTGATAGAGGCGGCCAGGATGATGTATGGTAACGCCTCCTGTTATGGTTTACCAGACTGTGATTATCTAGAGAGCCTCTCACAAGTTCTCGGTGACGTCATGTTCGTCTGTTCCGGAGACAAAACGGCAAGAGCCTTCACGAAGGGTGGGCGTCAGGTGTACCGCTACTACATGACTCACGTTGCCACCACCACATTGCTGGGTAAGAAGTGGACCAAGTCCATTC